TGACAGAGTAATTAGGTCAAGTGGAGTAGTAGGTCTGTATATTAAAGAGGAGCTGGCATGCACAGAGCTCCTGAACTCGTCCAATGAGGTGGTAGAGGTACTTGGAATCAAAGTAGAAAATATTAATCTACTTTATTATTTTAATATACAAATCGCCAGATACAACAGTTGAGGAATTCACTGAACAGATCTACAAAATAGAGAATATCCTTGATAACCTAGCAAACCTCGTACCAGATATTATCTTCCTTGGAGACTTCAATCAACCCAGTTTAAAATGGAGAATAGTAAACAATAACATTATAGCAGGAAATCAACCTAGAAATACCTAACCAAAGGTCAGAGAACTACTGAGATTCTGTGACAAATTCTCGCTCAGTCACCAGATTACAGAACCAACCAGGAACGAAAACACGCTGGACCTGATATTCACGAACAAGGATGAGCTAATCAGAGACATTACTGTCTCAGACACTACGCACTCGGACCACAAGCTCATTGAAGTGCAAACTGACATTAATAACAATAGTAGGCCCAAGAGAAGGGTTATTACTCTATCAACAAGTGAGAAGGGTTATTCAATAAATTCAATTTTAATAATAAAAGGATAGACTGGGAGAAAATAAACAGGGAACTTATAAACATTCAATGGGAAAATGTTCTAAGAAATAAAAATCCTACACAAGGAATAGAAAAACTGGCTTATGAAGCATTTGAAGTCTGTCTGAAACATGTTCATTTAAGGAAAGCCAGAAAGAGGTCAAATGTAGAAAGAGAACGCAGACGACATTACAAAACAAGGATGATATTAACGGAAATGCTTAAGCAGACACGCCTCTTCATACAAAGAAGAAATAATTTAAACAGGGAGATTGAAGAAATCGAACAGAGGCTGAAGCATTCCTATCAGACTGAAGAAAGGCAACTAGAACAGAAAGCAATTCAAGAAATAAAGAAAAACACAAAATATTTCTTCACATATGCTAAATCAAAACCCAGAACCACTGCCAGTATTGGACCTATTCGTATTAATGAAGGTTCATACACTGAGGATGACAAAGAAATTAGTGAAATCCTAAAAAAGCAGTATGAGGACATGTTTAGCACTCCGATACACAATATGAAAGTGGAAGATTCGGACAATTTCTTTATGAGTGATATCAAAACACCTGTAAATATAACTTATATCAACACGAGCATAGCAGATTTTGAAAGATAAATTGACAATATGCCCATGCACTCAGCCCCGGGTCCAGACTCATGGAATTCAATATTTCTAAAGAAATGCAAAGTGCCAGTAACACAGGCACTCAGTATAGTGTGGAGGAAGAGCTTGGACATGGGGGAGATACCAGATGCACTGAAAGCAGCAGACATAGCCCCTGTACACAAGGGAGGTACCAAAGCATTGGCAAAGAATTATAGACCAGTTGCACTAACGTCCAACATAATAAAAGTATTTGAAAGAGTGATCAGGAGTCAGGTCACTAGATTCATGGAAACCAATGACCTCCACAATCCAGGCCAACATGGATTTAGAGCAGGAAGATCATGCCTTTCACAGCTACTTGACCATTATGACAAAATCACTGAGGCATTAGAAGAAAAACAGAATGCAGATGTTGTATATACAGACTTTGCAAAGGCATTCGACAAATGTGACCAAGGAGTGATTGCACTCAAAATAAGGTCAATGGGCATAACTGGTAAAGTAGGATGCTGGATACTCAATTTCCTGTCAAACAGAACACAAAGAGTAACAGTCAATCAAGTAAAATCGAATCCGAGCGCAGTTAAAAGCTCTGTACCTCAAGATACAGTCCTTGCACCACTGCTGTTCCTTATTCTCATATCAGATATAGACAAAAATACCAGTCACAGCTTCATGTCATCCTTTGCAGATGATACAAAAATCAGCATGAAAATTACCTCTGCTGAAGACTTTGAAAAACTACAAACAGACATTAACAAAGTTTTCGATTGGGCAGCAGAATATAACATGGTGTTTTAACGGTGATAAATTCCAGGTACTCAGATATGGCAAAAATGAGGCTCTGAAACATAATACAGGGTACAAAACACAATCGAATCTGCCCATAGTAGGAAAACAGCATGTCAAGGATTTGGGAATAATGATGTCCGACAACCTAATGTTTAGGGAGCATAACCAATCAAGTATTGCGTCAGTCAGAAAAATGATAGGATGGATTACGAGAACCTTCAAGTCCAGAGATCCCATCACAATGGTTGTACTCTTCAAATCACTTGTGTTGTCCCGTATTGAGTACTGCTCAGTACTCACTTGCCCCTTCAGAGCAGGAGAGATTGCTGAAATAGAGAGAATACAGAGAACATAGACGAGATAAAGCACCTAAATTATTGGGATCGTCTCAAAGCTCTCCAAATGTACTCACTAGAAAGGAGACGAGAAAGATACCAAATAATATACACATGAAAAATACTGGAGGGACAAGTCCCAAATCTGCACAGTAAAGTAACAATATATGGAGTGAACGATATGGAAGAAAATGCAGAATAGAACCAGTGAAGAGCAGAGATGCCATAGGCACAATCAGAGAACACTGTATAAACATCGGAGGTCCATGGTTGTTCATAGTCCTACCAGCGAGCATCAGAAATATTACCGGAACAACCGTGGACATCTTCAAGAGAAAACTAGATTGTTTTCTTCAAAGAGTGCTAGACCAACCGGGCTGTGGTGGGTATGTGGGCCTGCAGGTTGCTCCAAGCAACAGCCTGGTGGACCTAACTCTCACAAGTTAAGCCTGGCCTTGGGCTGGGCTTGGGGAGTAGAACTCCCAGAACTCCATCAAGCAGGTATCAAGCAGACCCTCGAGCAATCCCTGAGTGACCCGGGAGCCCCCAGAAACAAGCGCAAGTGGGACCGCAGCCGCAGGAGAGACTCCGAAGGGAGAGACAAGGAAGCAGTCCGGAGTCCCACACAAGACCCAGTTATGTCCGAACCTGGGAGAGAACCAGATGGGACTTCCTCCAGTTCACCAAGAACCCGAACCCGGCGAGCTGGGAAAGAACCAAATCCCTGGCTAGCAGACAACTGGCCCGCTGGGGGCCCAAACCAGCCAGTCGTTGAGGTAGACCAACACCCGGACACCTAAGAGACGCAGACGGGCCACCATGACCCGTGTAAGGCATGTGAACACACGAGGTGCCAGGTTAACCCGAATGGGAGACAATGAAAGTGGTAACCCTGATGCCCCACAACTAACCCGAGCCAGTCCCTGAACCCCGGATGAATCGGGACTGCCCGAACCTCAAGACCATCTAACCCCTTCTCCGGCTCCAAAACCTTCAGACGCTTCGGAGCCAGAAGCAGGGGGGAGGGAACCAGAATGAACCACAGGAGGGGAAGGATGCTGGAGGGGGGGACTGAACCAAGGTCAAAGCGATCCTCACCCCCAAGCCCGGGTCCCTATAAGCAAAACGGGGCAGCCTCAGGGCATCCGGGTGAGCAACCAACCGAGTATGTTGCAACAACCTAAAACGCACATGCAACGCCTGTGTTGCCTGTTCCCTCACCAGACTGGGTAAATTGAGTCACTAGCAAGCAGCAGAACTCACAGGACTCAAGGTTGAAAGTGTCACTGCCCCAACAGGCAGCGTGACAGAGGCAAAAACAGTAAGGGTCATACTGAGACAAGGGAACTGAACAACCCTCAAACTCGCACGAAGCGTGGGGAGACTCCGGGGTCACATCCATCGGACCCACGTGCCCCCAGGAGTTTTCCAGGGCCCTGAGCGCTTAACGAGACTCACGCCCAGGTAATCCCAGGCATGGTACTGCTAACCAGCACCCGAAACTGCCAAGCAAACTCACTAAAGCTGCACCCCAGGGATGTGTACACTCACGGGGACCTAGCAGGAGGCACCACCAAAGAACCGTAATAGGCCAAGCACAAGTGGGCAAGAAGCAGGGCACATCCCACCACAAAGCAAAAACAAAAAGAAAACCCCACAAGAGGACAGTGTACCCTAGAGGAACAGAACCGGCCGCAATAATCAGTGAAAATAAGCTGCACATCACCCTGCGCCCCGAACCAGTGCAAACTGCCTCTTACCCTAAGGTAAACAAGGGAGACAACACACCCATGTACCCAAAGGGCGACCGAATAACCGAGCAGTAAAACGACCAGCAGAAGCAGGACCCAAGGAACTTGTAGAAGGTAACCCCCAAGCTCCAAGGGTAGTACTTACAGGGCACCTAGAGAAGGTAACCTAGGCACATGCAGCCCCAGTACTAGAGAATAACTCCTGGCTCTTGCACCCCTAGAAGACAGCCATCACACTCAAAGCACAGTGCTGAAATTATGTTTGGAGCCAGAGCACATGACCGTAGCCTCTAGCATCAGCCTAAGAACTGATGGGTGGATAGCCGGCATAGGGGGGTCTGGGGCTCACTCTTCCCACTCCTGGGGAGGAAGGGAGTTGTGCAGACAGAGGCGCGGTGATGTGTGACGTCATGCTTATTTGCTCATTTCTTTTAGGGGCGTTCTATCCACTTGTTCGGCTTTTGGTAGCAATATTTTCACCAGAATAGGGGTTTGTTTTGGGATGCTTACTTTTCTGGGTGCCTGACCCGGTCGATGGCAGACATAGGATGCTTCCAACCACACAGGGGTTTCTATAGGCCATTGCTTCCCATGCCTTTCTGAGGGGGCCAGGTTCTGGCTCGTGGTTCCCGGTAGGCTCACAGAACTCCATACACATGACTGATGCCAAAGTTTGACATTAGCATATCAGCCTAGTAAGCTCCGGGGAGCTGAAGGGGGCTCCCCCCAGAAAAACTGTCTATTATTTACAGGCTGAAGTATACTATAGTGTACTTAAATCTTAAGTTATTTTAAATTGTAATGAATTTTTTAACATAATGTTGTAATGTACAACACTTATTGTATTTCATATATTTAATTTGAACAGTTATTATAACATGTGAACAACATTCATTTTTGTATTTCCTACAGTGGTCTACAGCGAGCTTTGCTTTACTCGTACTATTGTTGGTCCAAGTACAATAGGTGAAGAAGAACGAGGGAGAGGACCTCATGATGATGGTGATGGTTATGGGAGAGAAATACCTGGGGGACCTGGAAGGCCTGGAAGGCCTTCAGGACCTGGAGGGCCTTCAGGACCTGGAGGGCCTTCAGGACCTGGAGGGCCTTCAGGACCTGGAGGGCCTTCAGGACCTGGAGGGCCTTCAGGACCTGGAGGGCCTTCAGGACCTGGAGGGCGAGGTCCTAATGGGAGAACTAGAGATCCTGATGGCAAAACTCGAGTCCATGAAGATGGAGACATTCCTGGGGAAAGCACGGTCCCTGGAAGCCCTGGAGATAGAAGAAGACCTGTAGTCATACCAGGAGAAGATTTTCCTGGAGGTATTAATTTTGGAAGTGGTGATGGATATGACGACTATGATGATGAACACGGCAAACAATTTAGACCTGGTTATAGACCAGATCCAATGGATCCTGGCCAGGTAATTGATCCAATCACTGGCAAAGCTGAAGACTTTGATGAGTGTGAGCTGATGGGTCACATGATGTGCAAGAATGGCCGCTGCATAAACACCATGGGCTCCTTCCGCTGCGAGTGCAATCTTGGCTTCCGCTATGATGAACCCAGTCACATGTGTGTTGGTATGCAATGAAACTATTATTTGTTTGTGTTATACTCTTATATATAGTATGCCCATAATTTTTTATTATTATTATTTAAGAGTATAAAGCCTATTTTATAATTTAAAACCACTTAAATGTATAAAGCCAACTTGGATTAACTAATAGAGCAATGGTCTCTCTTCTTACAGCTTAGCGTTCAGTCTCCAACAATCCAAGTGGTTGGATGCCACTTGGTATCCTTTTTTCCATCCTATCCCAAATCCTTATTCTCATCCCTTCCAAGTCCTATATAGTTGTAATGGCTTAGCGCTGTCTGAATTTACCTGAGGGCCACTAACACTAGTTGCCTCGATGAGGACAGGGAGCAAGCGGCTTGTAGAAGGGCCCCTCATTTGTCCTAATGATTTCATCAAACTGGATTTTGAAACTCAGCATTGCTTTAGCAATTTACAGCTTCATTGGGTAGGCAGTTTCATAGGTTTATAACCCTATGTGTGAAAAAGCATCTCCTGTTTTCAGTCCTACATTGTGTCTTGTTGAGCATGAATTTATTGCTCGTTGTTCATGTTATATCTGAGCTTTTAAAAAAGTTGTGTGGATCAATATTCTCCAAGTTATTTTGTATTTTAAAAGTTTTGATTAGATCAGTCTTGTCATGTCTGCTTTGCAGCATTGTTACCCCTGTGACCCTCAGACGTTCCTTGAATAAGAGTACAACTTAGTTCTGGAAGGTTTTTTGTTGCCTGGTGTTGAACTTTCTCTAAAGCAGATATATCTTTCTGAAGATAAGGACTCTATACTTGGATACAATAATCCAAGTGGGGGTACACCAGAGATTTATACAATTGAAAAACTACCTTCTTTCGCTTGACTCTTCTGAGGGTTAGGCTCGCTTGACCCTTCTGAGGGTTAGGCTCGCTTGACTCTTCTGAGGGCTTGGTTAGCTTTTCTAAGGGTAGTCCCATGTGGCTCCCTTAAGCTACTATACTGTTATAGTGCCAGACTACAAGGTGCCATCAGTCAGAGTTCTTACTGGCTTACCGGGTACCATAAGCCAGAACCTGGCCCCCCTCAGATAGGCACAGGCAGCGGTGGCTCTAAGGACAATTTTATGTAAATTTATTCATGTCAGCCACCACCAAGGTGTAACACCAGATTATAGTACCTGACTGTATCCCAGCTTAACAGCTTAAAATGCCCACTTTGACCAAACATAGACCGACACTATGTTAACTGATTTCTTAGAAGGAAAAACCGATCTGTTGTTATTCCTTAATTTTAGCCACCACCATTTCCCCGACTTACGTGAGTGTGACTGAACAAAAATACTGGACTTCGGGTAAGAGGAGTTCAGTAATCAACAATGAGTAGGAATATTGGGATTTAATTACTTGGGAAATAATTATGGATACTCTTTAATTTACTACTGAGAATCAGGGGACACTTATAATCCAATAGATGTATGCAAGGTCACAGGAAAGTTGCCAATAGCATGACTAGGTTCTTAGAGACTCAGAATAATATGAATGGAAAATTTAACTAAAATAGTGGAACAGCATTTCTCACCTTCATTTAGTCAATAATTACTTAACATGGAAACTGAAAAAATCCTAGTATAAATATCCTACATAGAGGCAATGGCTAGGGGGTACTACTGTAATGCATAAGAATCTCAAGTGCACTGTACCTTTACCCTGCAATCCATAGCTGTTTTGGCCTCCCAGCTCTTGATGTTATTACCTTGACCGAAACTCCATATTCACTAACTCTAAAAATCCTTGACTCCTTCAAGGTAGCCCTCTGGCCCTACCCAGTAAGTTTACTATGGCTCTCTTAAGCCCCACCTGTCCAGGTTAAGCCAATTATTTTAAACTTGGCTTAGGATTTGGCACTCTAAGCCTATGGGTACCAGGTACCCCCCCCTTTCTTCCGGGGGTCTCCAACCAATCAGTGGCTACCACCTGAGCACCTCCTTATCTCAGACCAATAATACCCCAGGCCAGGCTGAGGTCAGCTTGGAAAGGTATGTTTCCGTTTGTAGGTTGGCACGTAAAAACTGGATCCCTCCAAAATGTGTGTTGAACAGGCCATGTCAGTTCTCTTGACATTTACAAAAACCAGACATGGACACTGCCATTCTTGTTGGGCCACAAGGGTAACTTGAACGGGTTATGTTATGGTCCCGGAGTGTTTTATTACTCCACCTGTCATGACTATGGTGAGTGGAATGGAAGAGAGAGGAAAAGGAGTGGTAAGAGAGGGGATGAGGGGAAAATAGACACAGGGAAATGGAAGGAAGAGGGCAAAAGAGTGGGTCACCCACCACAAGCGGGCCACCCCACTTCAAAGATTAATAGAAGAAACGCCGGGCCTTCCATCCTACCCCTCAAGACATTGGATCGTCGGTGGGAGAGGTTAGATGATTTTGGGGCTTAGCCTCCCTACGGCCCGGTCCTCGACCAGGCCTCCTTTTTGTTACACCCCCAGGAAACAGCCCTTAGCAGCTGTCTAACTCCCAGATACCTATTCACTGCTAGGTAACAGGAGCATCAGGGTGAAAGAAACTATGCCCATTTGTTTCCGCCTCCACTGGGGATCGAACTCGGAACCTCAGAACTACAAATCCAAAGCCCTGTCCACATGGCTGTCAGGCCCCTAGGAGGGGAGAGGAGGGGGGAAGGTGGAAGGAAGGGGAACAGCGATTGTCTACAGTCACCGTTACAAAGGAAAGGCACCCAGAAAGTCAGTGAAACAAAACAGACCACTGCTTGGTTAGAAAACCAGGCCACAGCCTCAAAATAGCCAATAGAACCTCCCCAAAAATGTAAATGAATGGTAAAAAATTCATGAAAGTAGTGCAAACTAGTTTGCCCTACCTATTCCTCTAATTTGGGGGGGAGGAGGGAGGCAGACCAGGTCAGCCAGCTGCTTCCCCATCAGTTCTTATTCTGACATATATGTACCTTGGTCTCCTGCTTTGGCTTTGGTCTTCTGTCTCCTGTCATCAGCTAAGTTGTGATTTGCCTTTGAGGCCTTTCATATGCATGTTTGTGCAGTGTGATCCAGGAGTTTAGTGTGCTTGGAACTGCATGTGCTCAGGGTTTACTTCCCTGCACACTCCTTGAGTACTTCCCTTGCTCTGTCAGGGTTATCTTTCCTGATGTGTTTGGGGTTCACTTCCTTAGGGGGTCTCCTCACTTGTGGTGGCTCTCACCCATCAGGTAAGACAGTTGTCTGGGAATGACTGTCTTTCCACGGGTCGGGAGTGTATGCTTGGTTGGTGGAGCACACTGTAGTTTGCATGACCTTATAGGTGGACTGTGGTGGTCTCTCTATCTTATATGCCTGGTTGGGTCTTTGAGTCTTTCTTGTTTTCTTATTGTGGTCAGGTACCTTGAGAGTTGCAATCCTTGTTTACAATTTTCATCCCTTTCATGGGGGTTTTTGTTTTTTGTTTGATTTACGCTGCATTTCATTTCAGAGTTATTATTCATGCCATTTCTGCCTCTATTAGGTGTTACCTAGGGTCTTGGTGTGGATAATTTTCTTTGGTCTCTCTCCTGCTCTTTCCATTGGCATTGGGTTTCATGGATGCCTATACTACTGTTTAAGAGTTACCAGCATAGCATTCTAAGTGCCCGGGCATATCTAAAGGGAACACTCACCCTATTGACCCTGGAAAACCCTTGCAGGCCAGTGGTACCATAGATACCGCTACCGAACCTGCTTTCGTTTTGTGCAAATACAAGGGTTATCCGTCGTTTGTGCCACCAGCCTTCAGTCATACGTTCAGTATCCACCTTGCTACCAGCTGTGTCGGTGACACCTTCAATCCAGAGTTGTGTGGGTCCTGTTCCCTGCACGTTGCTCTCCTTACCCACCCTCCTGATGATGTTCCATGGTATCTGGAAGCAACCACTTTGTGCTATTGTGTTACAGAGGTCTGGTTTGTATGCCTGGCTGGTTGCCCTAGCTTTGTACCCCTTGGTGTCAGAATTTTGGATTTGGTGGTGTTGGTTGCCTCAACTGTAGTTCAGTCTTCACCTCCTCTTCCATACCCAGTGTGTGTGTTGTGTCTTTCACTTACCTCCTCTCTGCGTTTGGCCCAAAAGCATCTGAGGTTTTTGGGTTCCATTGGGGCAGTGTTTAGCTCGGGCAGTGGCTTGGGCAGTTCCAGGGTTTTCCCCTTCTGACTTGGGCATGGAGGCAGTTGAGACTTATGGTCCCGCCAAGGCTTCTGGGTGTTTCCAGCTGGCCTCGTCTTTCCTTGGACCTTCTCTCCCTTGGACTCTGCTTTTCTATTCCGAGTGGTGGGCATGGATGATGGCTCTGCCTCGGGGCCCCTCTTCTGTGATTTCTGGGGCTTGGTGGAGTTGGTGTTGGGCCCTTGGGTTCCATTTGCCCCTTTGTGGGCCTTGGTACCTTTTGCAAAGGGTCTTTTGTTGCAGGAAGTAGGGTTATCCTCTTCCCCCTCCCTGTATGAGCTTGATTTGGGTGCTGTTTTCCCCACAGTTCATTTCCGATTGCATTTAGATCATTCAGTTTCATCCTATCGGAGGTTTCCCATCTCGTGGGTTCCCTGGTGGTGACTCCGGAGGCTTTTTGTGCTTACCTCTTGCACGACCCAGATTGTGTCTCAGTTGTGGGCCTGGCCTCATTTGAGTTCAGTTCTTTCCCTGTTTGTGTGCATTCCAAGGTTCCAGAGTTATAATGACTGGCAGTCTGTTCTTTGTTTACCCTTGGGGTGTGGTGCAGGTTCTGTCGTCACCACACGGTCGAATGATGGGAGGTTCTGCTGTGTTGCAGGTTTTTCTTGGGGGCACTTTGTAATTACCTAAATGTAGTTAAAGGATGAGAGCTATGTTTGTGGTGTCCTGTCTTCCCAGCACTCTCGGTCAGCGAACCAACTGACGGTTTTGGCCTCCATCTTCTCACCTAACTTGTTCCAACCATCTACCACTCGACGAAAGTAAATTTTCTTATTTATTGGGCAGCTTTGTTAAAAGTTAGTTTAAATCTGTGACCTCTTGTTCTTGAAGTTTAGGGTCTCAATCTAAGTTTTGATTTCCTGCTGTCACGATCGCTGGGTCTTTCCCCCGGTGTTCCTTTGCTGATTTGCGTCACCAGCTTCCTCGTCTGGGTTTTCGGGGTTTGGTGCCATGGTGCTTTCCTCCTTCCTTGCTTGATGTTTCCCGGGCACCTCTGCTATTGGTTGGGGCTTTGTAACCAGGGCTCATGAGTCCAGTCAAGGTTCTTGGAACCTGCTCCTTCATCAGGCTCACAGTACAGTACATTAGTTTGCAGCTGTGTGGCAGGTGCTGCAGAAAGTTTGGATTCCTTGGCCGCGGTGATCCGTCTCCATTCAGACTACCCCAGTGGTTCATTGTCTCAACCAGGGCGAGTCTCTTTGGTCCGTGGCTCTTGGAGCTGGTCACTTTGGGTAACTTTTTTGCTGAGTTCTCGGGATTTGGCTGTACACGCTGTTCACGTTTAGAGAGTGTCGAGCGTCATGGCTGATGGTCCCTCTGACTTCATTCCTCTTTCCACAGAGTGGACTGTTGATGATGATTCTTAACTCTGGCTTTACAGGACATTCGGGCACCCCAGACATTGACCTTTGGCATCATCCAATTGTTAGACTTCGTGGTGGACGCCTTGCGGCTGGACCGGTCATGGTCAGGGTGCATTTCCTTCTTTTACCCGGTTCAACTGTTGCTCCAGGTTATGGCATGGCTTGAGTCTTACAGAGGGAGAATGATTCTTCTGGCTCCTTGGAGGATGGCCCAGCCGTGGTTTCAGGTGCTGCTTGATCAGTGTTCAAACCTGGGTATCTTTCTGTGGCTCTGCCTTTATCAGAGGGACAGCTGAGTGATGTACCTTGTTGGTCAGTCGAGTGACGTACCTTGCTGGCCTTATCTTCCGCCTCACGCGTTTAGACTTTTTGACGTGTATTTATCACCATTTGTGTGGTGAACAGGTGGCTGGTTTGTAGGTGTCTCACCTGCAGTCTTCTCAGCAACAGTATGGGGTTCTTGGCAGTCTTTTCAGCCGAAAAAGTTCATAAAAAGGGGCATTCGTAAGTCGAGATGTCACTGTACTCTGAAAATTTCATTTTGCACAAACACACTTTGGAACTGTTTGTTTAATGTTTCACACATTTCCTTCTCATTTTCCGTGAATCTATTTTCCATTTTTAACCTCTGAATCTTATCCTTTACCTCCACTTTGCTTCTGATGAATTTATAGAATAGGCCTTGTTCTGTTTTACATTTGTCTGCTATCCCTTTCTCAAAATGTCTTCCTGCCTCTCTCCCCACTACCATGTAGTTGTTTCTCGCTTCTTTGTATCACTGGTACAGTATGTTTGGGGGTTTGGCCTCTTCCCATATTGATTCCATTTTTGTGTCTTTTGGTCTCTGGCCCTCTTGCAATTTCTGTTGAACCAAACCTGTTTCTTAGTTCTGGATGTCTGCTTTGATATGATTTTTGTGCCTTTATCATATATTTCACAAAACTTGACATATATCTCATTTACCTCCTTGCCTAACAGCAAATCTTTTCCGTAAAATTTCTTAAAGAAATTTCTAAGTTCCAAATAATGTCCTCTTCTGAAATCAGGCTTTTCAACTGCTACACCTTCCTCATTTTCTTCCAGATTATAATGCATTACATACTTTATTCCTATAAAACATGGTCACTCTTACCCTAGACAAGAAGGCACTGAATATTAAATATCTCCTCCCAGGTGAATTTTGAATCCAGCATGGAGGGAACACATCCTTCTCTCACCCTCGTAGCTTGTTTAAAGTGTTGATACATGAATGTTTCCAGGATGGGATTTACGAATCTACAGGTCCATAGGTCCTCTGTTCAAGCTTCTTTTGCCTCCCTGGCTATAGATTTCAAGTTGAAGTCACCAACTACCAACAGTCATGATCTATCTTTATCTGCTCTCACTATTATCTCTCATTGTTGTTATAAGACTCTCGTTTATTTTCCATATTATCCACCTCCTTTGTCCATGTGTTGCATGGCAGTGGACTTTATGTATTTATAATTATTAGTTTATCATCCTGATTGCAGATCTCCAGTGCTATTATGTCAACTTCTCATGGATTGGCAATCATTATTTCGTTTACCTTTAGGTGTTCTTTCACCAGCACAGCAACGCCACCACCTCCACCACCTCCACCACCTCCACCACCTCCACCACCTCCTCAATTATAGACTTGTATCATTGACAAGTGTAGTAGTGAAACTATTGGAACAAATAATAAAAACTAAATGGGTAGAACACCTGGAGAGAAATTATATAATATCAGACAGATAGTATGGTTTTCGATCTGGAAGATCCTGTGTATCGAATTTACTCAACTTCTATGATCGAGCCACAGAAATCTTACAGGAAAGAGATGGTTGGGTTGACTGCATCTATCTGGACCTAAAAAAGGCTTTTGACAGAGTTCCACATAAGAGGTTGTTCTGGAAACTGGAAAATATTGGAGGGGTGACGGGTAAGCTTCTAACATGGTTGAAAAATTTTCTGATTGATAGAAAAATGAGGGCAGTAATCAGAGGCAATGTATCGAACTGGAGAAATTTCACAAGTGGAGTACCACAGGGTTCAGTTCTTGCACCAGTGATGTTTATTGTCTACATAAATGATCTACCAATTGGTATACAGAATTATATGAACATGTTTGCTGATGATGCTAAGATAATAGGAAGAATAAGAAACTTAGATGATTGTCATGCCCTTCAAGAAGACCTGGACAAAATAAGTATATGGAGCACCACTTGACAAATGGAATTTAATGTGAATAAATACCATGTTATGGAATGTGGAATAGGAGAACATAGACCCCACACAACCTATAAATTATGTGAGAAATTTTTAAAGAATTCTGATAAAGAAAGAGATCTAGAGGTGGTTCTAGATAGAAAACTGTCACCTGAGGACCACATAAAGAACTTTATGCGAGGAGCCTATGCCACGCTTTCTAACTTCAGAATTTCTTTTAAATACATGGATGGCAAAATACTAAACAAATTGTTCACGACTTTTGTTAGGCCAAAGCTAGAATATGCAGCGGTTGTGTGGTGCCCATATCTTAAGAAGCACATCAACAAACTGGAAAAGGTGCAAAGACATGCTACTAAGTGGCTCCCAGAACTGAAGGGCAAGAGCTACGAGGAGATGTTAGGGGTATTAAATATGCCAAAACTAGAAGACAGAAAAAAAAGAGGTGATATGATCATTACGTACAAAATAGTAACAGGAATTTATAAAATCGATAGGGAAGATTTCCTGAGACCTGGAACTTCAAGAACAAGAGGTCATAGATTTAAACTAACTAAACAAAGATGCCGAAGAAATATAAGAAAATTCGCTTTCGCAAACAGTGGTAGACGGTTGGAACAAGTTTGGTGAGAAGGTGGTGGAGGCCAAGACCGTCAGTAGTTTTAAAGCGTTATATGACAAAGAGTGCTGGTTAGATGGGATACCACAAGCATAGCTCTCATCCTGTAACTACACTTAGGTAATTACCTTTCCTAATTTTTTCTGTCCTGTTTCCAAACTGAGTAGCCCCTTGGGAATATTTAAAATATTATCTTCAAATTTTGTCTCTGTGAGTAAAACAATGTCTGGCATCTGCAGCTGTATTTCATCAATTAACTCCAATATTTTTTATCTCACTTCATCTATGTTGGTGTATACAATTTTCAAGAACATGTTCCCTCTCTCCTTGTTGTTCACTCCCCCTTTGTACACCATGTGAACCAGAGTATAAACATTGACGTACTTAGCAATTAGGTAGTACAATGCTGTACTATTCACTTCACAGAATCCAAAAAAATGAAGCTAAAAAACAAACTTATAAATTCCTTGGCGTAGTATAGCACACACATGTTCTATATTAGACCTCAGATAGTGTGAATTAAGCCTAGGAAGGTTAGGTTGTGTTTGTATAGTTTAGTGTGTCTTTGCATCATATGTAGAAAATCTTTTCCGACTTGTCCAAATTCAATAGTACCGATTTCTACTTTCTAATTGTGTTGTATGTTGGTATTATACTACGGTTCTCTTCTTTCCTATATATACTATCAAAACAGGAGGATGACCTGGTATATTGAATTACTTGCAGTAAAATATATTTTATAAAATGTATGATGGATACAGTAATTCATAAACTACATTTAATTTATAAATTAATTACATTGTTTTAATTATAATATCCTCCAGTTCTTAAAACTGTACAAGGTGTAAATATAGAGCAGTGTTTCCAAAGCAAAACAGCTGCAATATTTTTTCAGTAACTCTAGCTCTGTTTATATGGAAAGTCAGATTAAGATTAGACAAGATATTTTCTTGTAGTTTTCAGCTTTAGGGTGTATTGTAATTATTGTACATTATTACAATTACATTATTACTGTAATTTTGTAATAATTGTACTGTACTAAGTGTACTTACCCAAAATGCTGTGCATATTAGTGGCTTTAGGCATACTATGCACTTGCTCTATCTAGAAATCCAACATTCTGTTTGTATCTTGTATACATGCACTTTTACCTGAATAAACATTATTTATAATTGTGTATCATCTGTGACTCAATTTAATTGTTGCAGATGTCAATGAGTGTGATGAGCAGACACCATGCCAAGGATTAGCCAAGTGTGAAAACACGGTGGGAAGTTACCGCTGCTCCTGTCCTACTGGCTACAGAATTAACAGACTCACAAATGACTGTGTTGGTATGTATTATATTATACAAGCTCTATTATTAATAAGGAATTACATACAAATGAAACACACACACTCATGCCAGAGAGTCCATGTGAACTCAAAGACAAGGAAATAGGTACATTATAGGAAGAGGCCAAACCCGAAAACATACCAGCACTACTAACAAGCAAGAAACAAATACATAGCAATGAGGAGAGAGGAAGAAAGGAAATTTGAGAAAGGGGTTGCATGCAGGCACATGTAAAACAGATCCAGGCTTTTTCTATAAATTCATCACAAGCAAGCGGCATGTAAATGATAAAATCCAGAGATTGAGAATGGGGAACGGGTTCACTAAGAATGAAAAAGAAATGTGTGAATCACTAAATGAACAGTGCCAAAGTGTGTTTGTAAAAAATGAGAATTTCAAAGAGCTAGACCCAATGCCAATTCCAGAAAACACCATAGAGTACATAGTGTCTCGAGATGAAATTAAAAATTTACTGAAGAAGAAATAAAGAAATTTACTGAGGAAGAAATAAAGCTGTTGGACCAGATGAGGTTTCACCTTGGGTGCTGCAAGAATGTGCAACTGAGCTGAGCATTTCACTCCAATTTATATTCCAAACATCCTTGTTCACAGGAATCTTAGCAGATATTAGGAAAAGACACACATGGATCCAATCTACAGAAATGGTAACCGAGAAGACTTTAAATTATAGACCCATATCATTAACAAGGCTGTTCTGGAAACTGGAATATGCTGGAGGGGTGAGAGGGAAACATTTGACATGGATGAAAAATTTTCTGACAGTGACAGATGAGGGGGCAGTAATCAGAGGTAATGTATCTGACTGGAGGAGTGTTACTAGCAGAGTACAACAGGGTTCAGTTCTTGCACCAGTAATATTCGTCATCTACATAAATGATCTCCCAGAAGGAATACATAATTATAGGAACATGTTTGCAGATGATTCTAAGATACTGGGGAAGATAGGAACCAGAGATGATTGTTATGCCCTTCAAATTTATCTAGATAAAATAAGTGCTTGGAGCGACATGTAGCAAATGGAATTCAATGTGAATAAATGTCATGTTATGGATTGCGGAATTGGAGAAAATAGATGACATGCGGCTTATAAATTGCTTATAAATTGTGGAAAGGAATTAAGTAACTCTAGTAAAGAACGAGAGCTAGGGGTGGTTTTGGATAGTATACTGTCACCAGAGTCTACTATAAATGACCCGACCAGGACTCAAACCCATGATGTCCAGGATCACCCCTGAACTACATAGTTCCATGACCACCACACCGTTGATCATCACTGTGTATGTTTTGGGGTGATCCTGGACATCATGGGTTCAAATCTTTTCGGATCAGGTCTTTTAGAGTTCTTAGTGACCTTTGGCCCAAATCTCAAGAAGCACACAAATAAACTGGAAAAGGTGCAATGGCATGCAACAAAAGGGCTTCCGGAACTGAAAAACAAGAGTTAGGGCGAGAGACTAGAGGCGTTAAACATGCCAAAACTAGAAAATAGAAGAAAGAGGTGATATGATCACCACTTACAAAATACTAACAGGAATCGACCAAATTGACAAAGAGGAATTCCAGAAACCAACAACTTCATGAACAAGAGGACACAGATTGAAGCTTAGGAAACAAAGGTGCCAAAAATATATTACAAAGTTTTCTTTTGCAAACAGAGTGGTAGACAGTTGGAACAAGCTAAATTAGAAGGTGGTAGAGGCCAAAACCGTCAATAGTTTCAAAGGGTTATATGACAAAGAGTACTGGGAAGACGGGACACCATGAGTGTAGCTCTCATCCTGTAACCACACTTAGATAATTTCACACACACACACACACACACACACACACACACACACACACACACACACACACACACACACACACACACACACACACACACACACACACACACATTGAAACATTAAATGAAAAGTTCCAAAGTGTGTTTGTACAAAATGAAATCTTCAGAGAACCAGACACAATAAGAATTCCAGAGAACAACATAGAGCGAATAGAGGTGTCTAGAGATGAAGTGGAAAATATGCTAAAGGAGCTCAGTAAGAACAAAGCAGCTGGCCCACATGGAGTTTCACCATGGGTTCTGAGAGAATGTGCATCTGAGCTCAGAATTCCACTTCACCTGATCTTTCAGGCATCCCTGTGTACAGGAATCGTAGCAGATGAGTGGAAACAGGCTAACATAGTTCCTAATCTACAAAAGTGGCAGCAGGGAAGACCCCCTCAATTATAGACCTGTATCATTGACAAGTGTAATAGTGAAAGCATTGGAAAAACTAATCAAAACTAAATGGGTAGAACACCTGGAGAGAAATGATATAATATCAAACAGACAGTATGGTTTTCGATCTGGAAGATCCTGTGTATTGAATTTACTAAGTTTCTATGATCGAGCCACAGAGATATTACAGGAAAGAGATGGTTGGGTTGACTGCATCTATCTGGAACTAAAAAAGGCTTTTGACAGAGTTCCACATAGGAGGTTGTTCTGGAAACTGGAAAATATTGGAGGGGTGACAGGTAAACTTCTAACATGGATGAAAAATTTTCTGACTGATAGAAAAATGAGGGCAGTAATCAGAGGCAATGTATCGGACTGGAGAAATGTCACAAGTGGAGTACCACAGGGTTCAGTTCTTGCACCAGTGATGTTTATTGTCTACATAAATGATCTACCAGTTGGTATACAGAATTATATGAACATGTTTGCTGATGATGCTAAGATAATAGGAAGGATAAGAAATTTAGATGATTATCATGCCCTTCAAGAAGACCTGGACAAAATAAGTATATGGAGCAACACTTGGCAAATGGAATTTAATGTTAATAAATGCCATGTTATGGAATGTGGAATAGGAGAACATAGACCCCCACTCAACCTATATATTATGTGAGAAATCTTTAAAGAATTCTGATAAAGAAAGAGATCTAGGGGTGGTTCTAGATAGAAAACTATCACCTGAGGACCACATAAAGAATATTGTGCAAAGAGCCTATGCTACGCTTTCTAACTTCAGAATTGCTTTTAAATACATGAATGGCAATATACTGTACTAAAGAAATTGTTCATGACTTTTGTTAGGCCAAAGCTAGAATATGCAGCTGTTGTGTGGTGCCCATATCTTAAGAAGCACATCTACAAACTGGAAAAGGTGCAAAGACATGCTACTAAGTGGCTCCCAGAACTGAAGGGCAAGAGCTACGAGGAGAGGTTAGAGGCATTAAATATGCCAAAAGTAGAAGACAGAAGAAAAAGAGGTGATATGATCACTGCGTACAAAATAGTAACAGTAATTGATATAATCGATAGAGAAGATTTCCTGAGACCTGAAACTTTAAGAACAAGAGGTCATAGATTTAAACTAGCTAAACACAGATGCCGAAGAAATACAAGGAAATTCACTTTCGCAAACAGAGTGGTAGACGGCTGGAACAAGTTAGGTGAGAAGGTGGTGGAGGCCAAGACCGTCAGTAGTTTCAAAGCGTTATATGACAAAGAGTGCTGGGAAGACGGGACACCACGAGCGTAGCTCTCATTCTGTAACTACACTTAGGTAATTATACTTAGGCAATTACACATATATAAATATATATATATATATATATATATATATATATATATATATATATATATATATATATATATATATATATATATATATATATATATATATATATATATATATATATATATTATATATGTGTAATTGCCTAAGTATAATTACCTAAGTGTAGTTACAGGATGATATATATATATATATATATATATATATATATATATATATATATATATATATATATATATATATATATATATATATATATATATATATATATATATATATATATATATATATATATATATATATATATATATATATATATATATATATATATATATAATATATGTGTGTGTGTGTGTGTGTATATAAACATTTATACTGTATGTATCAAATACATTTGCACATAATATACATATTTAAGTTCAGATATTATTATCAAACAAAGTTCTAGGCATAAAGCATTTTAGTTATTTTCCTAGAAGTTTAATTTATCCTATGCTAATCTTTTTTTGTATGTTCATGAATGAATTTTGGTGTTGTTGCAGACATCAATGAATGTGAACAGGATGGGGTTTGTCAACATGGCGTCTGCAATAATTTTCAGGGAAGCTTCCAGTGTATATGCGACCCTGGTTATGTGCTTACAGCAGACCGCTCCTCGTGTATTGACTTGGATGAATGTATACGCTCCCCCAACATCTGCAATAATGGCACTTGCCTCAATTCCATGGGATCCTACCAGTGCCAGTGCTATCGAGGCTTCAAGATTGGCCCCAACCGTGACTGTATCGGTAGGTTCAGTATAGTATTTCAATCTTTGTTTAATGTTTGTTATAAAACTGATTATAATTATATCTTGTATTAATATGCAGGTTTAAGATTGATAACGTGACTAAAATAATTAAAATATATCATAGGACTAACAAATAACTAGCACTAGCATAAACTACCTAGTGCCTCAGGTCTCCAAGGAGTTAGGCAACTGTCGTGGGTTGCATCCTGGAGAAAGTCAGTCATTTGATGCAGGAGAGACCTTGGTGCCACCCTAGGTGCAGTACATACTTTTTGTACATGACAATGAGATTTCAGTAGAACCTTAGTATTCAAACTTAATTGGTTCCTGAAGGTCGGTTGAGTGACGATCAGGTTGAGTACTGAACAATTTTTTTCCATAAGGAATAATGTATACTGGATTATTTAATTTCAGACTACAAAAATAAATTCTGTATATTAATTCAGTTAATAAATGAAATAAATGCAAATACTGTATGCACTTTACCTGCACTTAGGAGAGTTGATGGCATATGTGAAAAGTGGTGAGGCAGAAGAAGTGAGATGTTATTCTTTGGCAGGGGAGTCCCCTACTATATTAACTTAAGATAATTGTGCAACTGGGATTCTCTCCTTCCTGTATTTTTCTGTTTCCCTCTTAAGACACTGCACTTCCCCCCCATTTTGCACATATTTGTTTTATTAGAGAACTAGATTTATTTGTACCATACTCAGTAGTAAGAGCAGACACATGGCCACCACATTCATATTTAGCTATGAGGTAATTTTTCATCTGTTACGGCCTCATTTAGCCAGTAACAGGTTCTTTTCATTTCAAACTTTCTATCGGGCCGTAGGGCCTCTTCTTACCAGATCCAACCCAGAGTCATAAGTAAGTTATTAAGAACTGGCAGTAATAGTCAATCCAAAGGGAATGAGGGTAAACAACACCAAACAAAACCATCACCATGTTTACTTTTTAACGTTATACACTTACTGCATATGTACATAACACCGCAGGTGTCACTTTCACAAAAGACACTACAAAACAACTTCTTCAATCTTCTATCCCACGAGTCTACTTCTATCTTTTATCGTACAACACTGAAGATATCTTCCCTGAGCCTTTCTTCTCGGGTACTCATGCCGGCAAGTCGACCTTTCTCAGTAAATCATGGGCCAGTCCTCTGCAGTATATTCACAGTGTCCAAACGCCACTTTTTACTCTACAGCAATATGCTGGCTGGTCTTTAGCAACACACTGGCTGGCTTTCCCTTAAGGCTTCACCTAAAACAAGCCTTTACTTAGAGGACAGACGAACATTAATTCCATTTAGTAACTCTACTGGGCCATCCTGGGTTACGTCTGTCCAATCACTTCTTCACTTGTTATCACAGACAGATCACAGTCTCTACCTACTCGGCCCACTTGTTCCCAATGGAACAAGTCTTGAGTTCAGGACTGCCCTGGGTGAACTAACTCATGTCGACCAAAGTGCCACCCATATCTCTTCTGTATCAATTTGCAACCTGCACATTCAATACCCCATTTTGCCCTGGGACCTACAGCACAGTGACACATGCCATGCTTATCATGGCTTTCCGTCATTTCACTTTACTTAAGTTATTATAAACTAACTTTATGGATACTGAGAAGCTTTTTCAGATTCCGCCACCACATGAATGTTTGTTTACACTTTCACGCCTAGGGGGCTACTCACTCAAAATATGTAATTTATGTTACTTAGGTAACAAAAAATTATCCTTATGTAATTTATTTCTATATACTGTATATATATATATATATATATATATATATATATATATATATATATATATATATATATATATATATATATATATATATATATATATATATATATATATATATATGTCATACCTAGTAGCCAGAACGCACTTCTCAGCCTACTATGCAAGGCCCGATTTGCCTAATATGCCAAGTTTTCATGAATTATTTATTTTTCGACTACCTAACCTACCTAACCTAACCTAACCTAACTTTTTCGGCTACCTAACCTAACCTAACCTATAAAGATAGGTTAGGTTAGGTTAGGTAGGGTTGGTTAGGTTCGGTCATATATCTACGTTAATTTTAACTCCAATAAAAAAAAATTGACCTCTTGCATAATGAAATGAGTAGCTTTATCATTTCATAAGAAAAAAATTAGAGAAAATATATTAATTCATGAAAACTTGGCTTATTAGGCAAATCGGGCCTTGCATTGTAGGCTGAAAAGTGAGTTCTGGCTACTAGGTACGACATATATATATATATATATATATATATATATATATATATATATATATATATATATATATATATATATATATATATATATATATATATATATATATATATAATGTATATGTCATACCTAGTAGCCAGAATGCACTTCTTGGCCTACTATGCATGGCCCGATTTGCCTAATAGGCCGAGTGATTTCCTTTTTTTCAACAAATTGTTTCCAATTGGTTTATTTGAATTATTATTATTATATTATATTAAGAATATAAATTATTGACTTAGTTATGTTAGTTTAGGTTATGATAAGATAGGTTAGGTTAGGTTAGGTAGGGTTGGTTATATCGGTCATTTATCTACTTTATTTTTAACTCGAATTAAAAAAAAATAACTCATACATAATGAAATGGATAGCTTTATCATTTCATAAGAAATTAGAAAAATATATAAATTCAGGAAAACTTGGCTTATTAGGCAAATCGAGCCTTGCATAGTAGGCTGAGTAGTGCGTTCTGGCTACTAGGTACAACATATATATATATATATATATATATATATATATATATATATATGTCGTACCTAATAGCCAGAACGCACTTCTCAGCCTACTATTCAAGGCCCGATTTGCCTAATAAGCCAAGTTTTCATGAAATAATGTTTTTTCGTCTACCTAACCTACCTAACCTAACCTAACCTAGCTTTTTTTGGCTACCTAACCTAACCTTACATATAAATATAGGTTAGGTTAGGTTAGGTAGGGTTGGTTAGGTTCGGTCATATATCTACGTTAATTTTAACTCCAATAAAAAAAAATTGACCTCATACATAGAGAAAAGGGTTGCTTTATCATTTCATAAGAAAAAAATTATAGTAAATATATTAATTCAGGAAAACTTGGCTTATTAGGCAAATCGGGCCTTGAATAGTAGGCTGAGAAGTGAGTTCTGGCTACTAGGTACGACATATATATATATATATATATATATATATATATATATATATATATATATATATATATATATATATATATATATATATATATATATATATATATATATATATATATATATATATATATATATATATATATATGTCAGTATGTCATACCTAGTAGCCAGAATGCACTTCTCTGCCTACTATGCAATTCCCAATTTGCCTAATAGGCCAAGTGATTTTTTCTATTTAACATTGTTATCTTAAAGCGTGAAAGTGTTAACCTTGTTATCTTAATTTAAAATTGTGGAATTTTAATTTTTTTTTAAATAATATATATTTTTTCCTGTTCATGTTATGATATTGATCCATTAGGAAAAGTGGGAGCATCTACCATGTAGATTATGCACAATAAATTTGAGTGTTTGATGAAGATTGATAAATTGCGCATCTATCCCCTTAATCTAGTGTGTTTAACCACCATACTGCGCACCTGGTTTAGGCAAAAACTTCATAATGTTCCTTCCTTGACTAGGAACCACGTGCTCTGCTGACCCATACGTGTATCAACAAAGTCGCAAGTTGAGGCAAAGGTCGTAAGTCGAGTCAAATTTTCTGACGAAATTGGGGTCATAGCTCTAAAAATTTGTAAGTAGGGGCATTCGTAAATCTAGGTTCGATTGTATATTGGCTGTGCCTCGTAGTCATTGTTGCTCTTGCTGCGGTGTCTCATTTTCTGTGGGGAGCCCCATTGGTTTCCTAGAGCTATCCGAACTGATATGTGCTATATTAGTTTGGGGTCATCAGTTACAGGATTCCTCATTCCTACTGGGGACCACTAGTTAGAACTTGACCTTACAAGGGACTCCTCCCAGAAAACTAGCATTGATTGTAATGAAATGCTAATTTGGCTCATGGGCCCTGGTAGGCCTAAAAGAACTCATCGACTCATGGTACCTGGTAGTTTGACACTTTATCAGTAGCTTCAGGAAGCCTCTATGGCTCGCCCAGAAATTGACATTTCATTACATTCAACGCTAGTTATATTTACATCTAACTAAATGCATTTTAATAACAATTCTCATTTACATACAGTTTTAATATGTATGTGTCTGTGTATTACATAAACCACAAAATCTTGTAGTGCTTTCTTTTATCAGATGTGAATGAGTGCCTGATCAATGTTGGTCTTTGCGTCAATGGTCGCTGTCGCAACACAGAAGGTTCATTCAGATGTGTGTGTGCTGATGGCTATACTCTCACACCAAATGGAGAGCAGTGTCGTGATATTAATGAGTGCTCTGAGGTAGGCTGAGAAGTGTCGTGTGTCAGGGCATCTCTTACCCGAGATGTTTCAGAGAATTCTGTCTAGCATCATCTCATCCTAGCTTATCACAGAGAATGTATACTGTGAAACAGCAGTAGTCATCTTAATTCATTATAAATGTAACAGCAGCATTTGTCATCTTAACTCATTACAGAGAATGTTGTCCAACATGATCATGTCATCCTAACTCATTATAGTTAAGAGCATAAGCCATCATAATACATGTAACATTCCATCCACTCTTATCTTATTAATCTTACAATCAACCTCAGCCTACTCTATAGCAGCAAAACTATTTATAGCTATCTTTTCCTAATAGACTTATTTGGATACAAAAATGTATTTGTTTAAAAGACAAATTGTACTGGTTAATGTAAATACTGTACAATTTTGAGAGTATTTTTTCTTTCAATTTTTACACTCCTGTTTCTTCATGTAATAGTAACATGATCAAAAATTTATCAACATTTTATTTGATATCATTATAACTTAGGCATTGTTTAAAGGCATGCTAAATTGCTTGTACAATATTTAGGTTAATGTATAAATAATAAATTACTTTTGAGCATTGAAAATAGAAAACATAGACACCTAACCTTGTTTATTGGTATAGCGTGAAGATGTGTGCCCTGCCCCTGGACGTTGTCAAAATCTGATGGGTTCTTTCATCTGTGATTGTCCCGAAGGATTCAAATTGGCCCCCGATGGAATGTCATGCATTGGTAAGGTGCTCAGTATATGTACATCCTTAAGTGTAAATATTTAAAGTTTTGTTCAGGTATAGGACAATATATGCTTCATAAATTTATTACTGTATTTACAGTATATTGTATTGTTTAAGTTGCTAACTAGGATTCAAACGTTATTGTATAGCAGCTTGTCCACAACTCTTGGCAAGAGTGTGGACAAGTGTATGGCAAGAGTGGCTACCACACACCGGCTAGCAGACGCTACCTACTCCCTTCTACACCAACACGGGTCCATCTAATTACCGCAAGCTACCACAAGCTACACAAGCTTCACAAAGCTCTATCTATATATCAATCCATTAATGTAACATCACTTGTATGTAAGTATGTACCTTACCTGAATAAACATATATAAAGCTTCCTGGCAATACGTTAGTAATGAATAAATATGATACAGAGCACCACTTGGTTTCCGAACTTTAGTTATCCGAAACTTCCAGTTTCCCGATTGGGGTTGGGGAGTCATGCTACCCGAACAAAGTTCGGGTAGGAAGGGGTCCGCCAAGCGTCACGCCGGCTTGTGGTGGTGGGTGGGAGATGGTCCAGGGTGCCCACTGTGACTTCACAGATTCATGGCCTATTATTCCTATTACAGTATTTTGAATTGCCATAAGGCTGGAATGTTCATTCTGTGCTTTTGTTTTACATATCTGCACAATCAAGAAACAGCTGTGCACCATGTTGGCTCCAAATGGACGCATTGCGTCATTGATGGCTGACTGGTGGGTGGATGGACGATGGAGCTTAGGTGGGAGGCAGTATGAGAGGGGGGGGGGAGAATCAGTGAGAGAGGGGGATAATTAGTCAGAAAGGGAGGGAGAGAGAGATGCTAAGAGGGAGGGGGAGGTAGGGAGAGATGTTAGGAGGTAGGGAGAGATGCTAAGAGGGAGGGGGAGGTAGGGAGAGATGTTAGGTAGGGAGAGATGCTAAGAGGGAGGGGGAGGTAGGGAGAGATGCTAAGAGGGAGGGGGAGGTAGGGAGAGATGTTAGGAGGTAGGGAGAGATGCTAAGATGGAGGGGGAGGTAGGGAGAGATGTTAGGAGGTAGGGAGAGATGCTAAGAGGGAGGGGGAGGTAGGGAGAGATGTTAGGAGGTAGGGAGAGATTCTAAGAGGGAGGGGGAGGTAGGGAGAGATGTTAGGAGGTAGGGAGAGATGCTAAGAGGGAGGGGGAGGTAGGGAGAGATGTTAGGAGGTAGGGAGAGAGGCTAAGAGGGAGGGGGAGGTAGGGAGAGATGGCAGGAGGTAGGGAGAGATGCTAAGAGGGAGGGGGGGGAGGTAGGGAGAGATGTTAGGAGGTAGGGAGAGATGCTAAGAGGGAGGGGGAGGTAGGGAGAGATGTTAGGAGGTAGGAAGAGATGCTAAGAGGGAGGGGGAGGTAGGGAGAGATGTTAGGAGGTAGGGAGAGATGCTAAGAGGGAGGGGGAGGTAGGGAGAGATGTTAGGAGGTAGGGAGAGATGTTAGGAGGTAGGGAGAGATGTTAGGAGGTAGGGAGAGATGCTAAGAGGGAGGGGGAGGTAGGGAGAGATGCTAAGAGGGAGGGGGAGGTAGGGAGAGATGCTAGGAGGTAGGCAGGAAGGGACGGAAGTAGTGAGAATTAGGGAGGGAAAGGCAAGCTGGCAGGCACAGGCTGGCAGGCACAGGCAGACAGGCACAGGCAGACAGGCAGGCTGGGAAGGAGGCAGGCAGGCAGGCTCGGGTAAGGAAGCGGTCAGCCAAGCATCGTGCCGGCCCATGGTGGGTGGGTGGGGGGGTGGGTGATGGTTTAGTTTGCTCACTGACCGTGTCGGGCGCCGCCGGCTACCCTGTGACGTCACAGACTCACGGCCTATTGTTCCCATTGTTTGAATTTGTCACGAGACTGGAGTGTTCATTCCGTGACTTTGTTTTACATATCAGCACAATCAAGGAACATCCGTGCACCATGTCGGCTCCAAATGCACGCATTGTGTCAGTGAAAGCATCTACAAGCGGGTTACGTAAAAGAAAGAGGTCAGTGATGACATTTGAAAAGAAAGTTGAAATAATTAAGAAGGTGGAAAGCGGTGTCCCGAGAAGTGTCGTGTGCGCTGAGTATGGCATTAGTAAAAGTACTGTTTTTGATCTTCTTAAGGCTAAACCTATCATTTTTGACTATTTCTCTAGAAGTGAAAGTGATAAAGCAATACGAAATAGAAAGGTAGTAAGTAAAGCAAAAGTGGAGAGTGTTGATAACGCAGTGTGGGAGTGGTACAAACAGAGACGTGAAGTGACGAAGAAGCGAGTGGCAGGGTGGCTCCTCGTGGAAAAGGCGCGTGAATTTCACCAAGCAATGAAAATTACTCAAAAGTGTGTATACAGTGATGGTTGGCTCAGAAGTTTTAAAACCCGTCATGGCATTAGGTTTATTAAAGTGCATGGTGAAAGACAATCTGCTGATATTGTTGGTGCTGATGAGTATGTGAGTAAATTTGCGGAGATGGTGCAGGAACAAAATTTATCTCGAGAGCAAATTTATAATGCTGATGAGACAGGTTTGTACTGGCGTATGGTTCCCACAGAAACGATGGCTCATAGTGGTGAGGACGATCCTTCAGGTGGTTATAAACAGAACAAACAGAGAATTTCTTTGTTGTGCTGTGCAAATGCAGCTGGCACGCACAAATTAAAGTTACTTGTGATTGGAATTAGTAAAAACCCCAGGGCTTTAAAGTCAGCCAGGTACCTCCCTGTGATTTATAAGGACCAGCCAAGTGCGTGGATGTCTCGAGTAATATTTGTCGAGTGGTTTAATAAGAACTTTGTACCCGAGGTGAAGGAGCACCTGAAAAGTGTTGGTCTCCCGCAAAACAGCAAAGTTGTGCTGCTGCTAGATAACAGTTCAACGCATCCACGAGGTGATGAGCTTATAAATGGCAATATTATTGGAACGTTCTTGCCACCCAATACAACCTCAGTGATCCAACCCATGGATCAAGGAATAATTAAGAACCTTAAACACCACTACAAGAGGATGTTTGCCAGACGTCTTAACAATCAGCTTGGAACACTTAAGGACTTTTATAAAGTCTTTACAATAAAGTCAGCTATCTGGACTATTGCTAGTGCGTGGGATGAGGTAAAGCAGACAACACTAAGAAATGGTTGGAAAAAACTTTGGCCCGCGTCAAGTCTGTTTCCTGAGGAAGATGACGAGGCAGATTTTGAAGGATTTGCGGTGAAGAAAGTTAGCGAGAAGAAAAAATTAAGAGAGGAACTCCTAGCCTATGTCAAGGGGATTAAGTCCCCTGAGATTAGAGCAGAACTGGTGACTGAAACAATCGAAGATGACATAGATAGATGGATAGATTTTGATGAAGAAGCCCCAAACAATCGAAACATGACTAATGATGAAATTATAGAATTAGTATGTACAGCAAAAAAGCCAGACGAGTGCAATGAAGAAGATGGAGAGGAAGAGGAAGAGGAAGAGGATGAAGAAACGTTAAAGGAAAAATGTGATATGGAAAAAGTTCAGCAAAATTTTGAATACATTCTGGCATTTATGGACACGAGTTACAGCGAGTTTGAAACTAAGGACATGATGAGTCTGTACAATATGTATATGAAGTTTTTAAAAACAAGAGCCAAGGGAATGAAACAAATGTCAATTACAGAGTCTTTTGCAATGGCTTCCAAGAAAGCTCGCATTGCATCACCTGCACCTGACTCATCGCATGTTGACCCAGTCAACCCAACAACTTCAGTCAATCCAACACCATCAACATCCACCACCACCTCTTCCATGTAAATAACTATGCTTCATCAACATCAATCATCAACATAAGCGGATCAGTACTTCAATTATTGGTGAGTACAAAGAAAATACGGTCACGCATTTACGCTATGAACCTGTCGATTTTTTCCTCTAGATTTTTTTCACATTATTTTTTTATTTTTTCCTCCATTTCTCGTATACGAACTTACATGTTAACCGACGGGTCTCGTCCCCAAGGGGTTCGGAAACCAAGTGGTGCTCTGTATGTTAGGTTAGGCTGACCTAACCTAACCTAACTTAACCAAACCAAACCTAACCTAACCTAACCTAACCTAACCGACGCTTGGATTGTCGACTTGATTTGGCATCACCAGCTCTTTATTTTCGTCTAATTTCTTTATAAAAAGATTACTTTTTCAGATTAAAATTGTTTTTTCGTACATAATTTTCTATTCAGGCTTGTATGCATTTGTGTTCCTCACGTGTGCCCCAAAGAATGAGGTGATTTGATAAAATGCTATGCCCAAGATTACCATCCGAGTGCCGGCGGGGAAGTGGTTCAAATAGCTTCAGCTATCACTTCCTTATGTCCAGTCGTGATGGTCAAGCAGATTAAGGCGTCCTGTATATACCAGTTGCATTGCTCCTGGCAGTATGGGTTCGAGTCACTTCTGGGGTGTGAGTTTTCAGTTGCATATAGTCCTGGGGACCATTCAGGCTTGTTCGCATTTGTGTTCCTCACGTGTGCCCCAAAGAATGAGGTGATTTGATAAAATGCTATGCCCAAGATTACCATCCGAGTGCCGGCGGGGAAGTGATTCAAATAGCTTCGGCTATCACTTCCTTATGTCCAATCCAGCGGCTTGTCGAAGGTCCCCCCATTTGCCTTTTTCCAGGTATATTTTAAAACTCAACACAGTTTTGGGATGATGCTAAGATTCTGGGGAAAAATAGGTGGTGGAGATGATCATCATGCCTTTCAAAATGATCTAGATATAAAGTTCTTGGAGCATCAAGTGGCAAATGGAATTCAATGTGAATAAATGCCATGTTATGGAATATGGAATCAGAAAAAATAGGCCACACACAATTTACAAATTATGTGGAAAGGAATTACAAAACTCTAATAAAGAACGAGATGTAGGGGTGGTTTTGGATAGTAAACTATCACAAAAGGAACACATAAAGAACATTGTGAGAGGAGCATTTGCATTGCTTTCCAACTTCATATTTGCTTT